CCCCCCACAAAAACATTGAAAAATGTAGCTTACATTTAGACAGGTCCCCCCCGGTTTTGTAGAGATAGGGGGTGGGGATCAAGAAACAACAGCATGCGGAATCCCGTAACACTCCACACATTGGCACGGCAAGAAATGCTGCCAACATCTTCATAGGGTGGGCCCCCTCTCAATATAAATGCAAGCCAGGATAATTAATTTGAGACTCGTTCGCGTCTGTGCTGAAAAACGCAAGCTCCCCGAGGCAGAACGAGCCGGCATGAAGCAGTAACTATACTACAAGGAACACGAAACAAAACTACATCCTCGAAGCAATGATGTGAGAACCCTGACAGCTAATGCTTCTAACAGCACACAGCGCGGGGTGTCCTCTGATGTATGGAACCCAATTCATTAGTCTGTCATTGTGTTGCTTTCGAGGCATTGTGAGCTTAATCCGGAATCCCGCTTGTCAAGTTACCCCTGGAATGTCAGCTGACTGTAGGTCTGCGACAACCTCTTCATGACGTGTCAAAAAATAACGAAGCCAAATTACCATGCAACAAACAATCATGCTTCGGCTGTCCTGACATTTTGCTGTAGAACTTAAAGTATCTTCAACGCCGTTAGGCAAGCCTACTTGAGCAAACAAAGCCTGTTTGCCAGGATGGGGTGGCTTGCAGATTGTCAAATTTGATTGATGCAGGGTTGCACCAACCCATCGTTCCCTGTAAGCAAACAATCTCCAACTCATGACTTGTTGCTCAACGTGCGTTCTCTACTGAAATGACAAGGGGGAAAAGGCTGAGAGCGGTGACCTACAACAGCAGCAGCTGCCAAAGTGATGACACCTGCGCAGTGCCGCTGCTAAAGGAGAGGTAGAGAACAGTAATCCAATCTATCTACTTCAAAGCAGGACTCCAACACCCCCGACCTAGAATGAAGACCAGGAACAGGCAGTTCAACCCGAGCAAGGTCCAAGTGCTACTATCTGTCCCTGTCCTTGATGCCAGCGTGCGTCAGCAGCCCCGACACAACTCAAAGGATAACTCTGACTGTAAAGCGACCAAGTGCTGACTGGAGACATCTCCACCCAGTCTTTTAGGGCCTTTCTAGATTCCGGGGGCAAATTTGCAAGGCCTTGACGGAACTTTGCCTCACAGCTACTCGGGCTTTGCAGCGGAAAAGCATCGCAGGAGACACAAACTGAAGCTTTAAAACCTTGCCTCCTGCTCCGGTGACAATTTACCCCGACGCATCTTCAAAAAATCCACTGGCCTCGACAAGCGCCCGAGACCAACCAATATTAATATGATGGTACACACGTCTGGCCAAACACCATTAAAACTCTTAAGACTGCACTTACTAAAGCATGGCAGGGCGACAATCCTTTTTCCTCAGCGGAATAGCTACATCGACAGTCACCAAGGGACGCTTCAAAGCATCACACAGTGTTTTGGGAACGTATGTGCCAAGGAAAAGGCGTTGGCTCTCCATCCTTGCAAGAAGACAAATACGGCTGTTTTCAGAGAGATGGATAGGAAGGTTCGACCGAGGAGCTTTCATTTCTGTGTTCTTAGCTGCTTTGGCTTCAAGCACCGTGGGCGCATCTGTGCGCCCGTCTTTGCGTGAGTGTCCTTCAACCA